CCAAAATATTCTTCAATAATAGTGTATTAGTTATATTCAAAGTAATAGCAAAGGTCTTTACATGTAATTTATGTACTAATATAATTAGTTCAAAATATTTTCTTAGTTCCAAGTCCTTATGATAAATATATACTATCAAAAATAATCAAAATCGAATTGGAAAAATAAATGTAATCATACTCTGATTCACAAAATGCACTAGTAACGGTTGGTCAATGCATCATTGTACCGACCATTACTAGTACTTACCCAGGTTGCGATGAGGGAGAGTACCAACTTGATGATAACTATCACCAATTATTGGATTATAAAGATGGAAGCATCAATCTGTTGCCCTGGCATTGGTTTCTAGACACCGAGAATACTCATTGTTAAAGCGAGAAGCATATTCTCTCAAAGGTTCATAGTCTCATTGCCGAATGGTATATAAGTCATCCGCTGAATATAAGCGATCGGTTTAAATAAGGGTTAGTGTGAGAAGAAGAGCGGCTACAATGACAAAGATGACTGCCCAAGGTGTATCAAAAAACTTTTGACTCAAAACATCATTACAACTGTTTCCTGCCATATTTCTCCAGTTCCTCACATATATAAGTACAAAAGAAGTTATCATTATTTACAATAAGCCCAGCAGCACCATTTGATAATTGATGAAGTATACTTCTTTAATCCTTCACTTAACATTTTATCTTCAAGTATAACTTTACTAATGTCATTTGAATATTAATTAAGTTTACTAAACTTAACATAACCTAAGGAGAAAAGAGTCAAGAGGCCAAGCGCATGTGGACCCCCATCAATAAAATGAAGCTGGACATTACGCTTTATAATACTCAAACGTTAATTACCCATTGCCAAGCTTAGCAACACAAACTTGTAACTTGAGTGGGGTATTTGAGATGTTGGAAAATTGCCCTAATTGACCATATACAATTAGGTTGCGACATGTTGAGTGTGACCATTAATCAACTATTCTTATTTCACATAGATAAAACAAGTGATAATCTGCTCGCTTGTAATTACCTGAGAGTCCTACTATACTTCCCATAAAGCAGTTGGGCTTATTATGCTCAATTTGCTCCTCGATCATATAATAATTGAGTTGACTCGAGTCTTCACGTTGGAAAATGAATTAGTAACATAAATAAATAACAAAAACAATCAATTAATAAAGGCAAAGAAATAAAAATAAAGCACTTACAACTGCTTGAAAATAGTCACAACCAAGTCTCTTATTACTAATCACCAGCAAGTAAAAGAAAACATCACTTCACATATAAAAATATTCCTCATGAATTATGTTATGAGGACGGAAAAGGGAGCAGACCATACTATCAACTCATTAACATCAATTGATATTATATACATCTTAGCATATGTTACTTGAAGATAAATATACATGCCCGCATGGAGGCATGATAATTTTAAGGACATCCGTGCAAAAACAAAATTAGAATATTAACAAAATAAAATAGTAATAAGTGGAGGGACAACTTATTGTATGTTGGATTCACCAATAGAGATTGAGTAGCCTAACTTTCAAGGGTAGTATGTGCAGACTCCATAAAGATAAGTCTGCACGTAGGCACTTAATAATCATCACCATTTTGTAAGTTAGCTTGACCATATACAATTAGGTGCAATGGGTTGTTATTGCAATGTGTTGACCGTAATCATTAATCGGCTATTATTATCTCACTTGGATAAAACAAGTGATAATCTGCTCGCTTGTAATTACATGAGTCCAATTATACTTCCCGTAAAGTAGTTGGGCTTATTGGGCTCAATTTGCTCCCCGACTATATAATAATATAATTGACTCGAGTCTGCATGTTGGAAAATGAATTAGTAACATAAATAACTAACAAAAACAATCAATTAATAAAGGCAAAGAAATAAAAATGAAGCACTTACAACCACTTGAAAATAGTGACGACCAAGTTTCTAATTATTAATCACCAAGAAGTAAAAGAAAACATCACTTCTCATATAGAAACATTCATTATGAATTATGTTCCGATGATGGAAAGGGAGCAGGCCATACTATCTACTCATTAACATCATTTAATATTAGACACTTCTTAGCACATGTTACTTGAAGATAAATATTCATGGTCGCATGAAGGTATGATAATTTTAAAGACATCCGTGCTAAAACAAACAAAATTTGAATATTAGAAAAATAATAAAGTAATAAGTGGAGGGACAACTTATTATATGTTGAATTCACCATTTTAGATTGAGTAGCCCAACTTTCAAGGGTTGTATGTGCAGCCATAAAAATAAGTCTACACATATGCACTTAATAATCATCACAATTTTGTACGTCGGCTTGACCTTATACAATTATGTGCAGTGGGTTGTTATTGCGACGTGTTGACCGTAACCATTAATCAACTATTCTTATTTCACATGGATAAAACAAGTGATAATCTGCTTATTTGTAAGGGGGTTTCACTAAAACACCCAAAGTGGGGGCTGAAATTATAAAAAAACCCAACACCCAAAACACTTTATAAACACACCCAAAACCCATCATTACACACACTCAAAACTCATTTATAAACACACCCAAAAAATATACAATTGTTGATTTTGGGGTTGATTTTGGGTGTGTTTCTATGTTTAAATAGTGTGTGGGTTTTTTTATAAATACATGCCTAGGATTTGGTTTATTTATAATAATCTATATTTGTAATTACCTGAGAATCCTACTATACTTCCCGTAAAGTAGTTGGGCTTATTTGGCTCAATTTGCTATTTGACCATATAATAATAGAGTTGACTCGAGTCTGGATGTTGGAAAATGAATTAGTAACATAAATAAATAACAAAAACAATCAATTAATAAAGGCAAAAAAATAAAAATGACGAACTTACAACCGCCTGAAAATAGTCACGACCAAGTTTCTGATTATTAATCACCAAAAAGTAAAAGAAAACATCACTTCTCATATAGAAACATTCTTTATGAATTATGCTCCGAGGACGGAAAGGGAGCAGGCCATACTATCAACTCATTAGCATCATTTGATATTGCCCACATCTTAGCATATGTTACTTGAAGATAAATATCTATGGTTGAATAGAGGCATGATAATTATAAGGACATTCGTATGAAAACAAAATTAGAATATTAACAAAATAATATAGTAATAAGTGGAGGGACAACTTTTTGTATGTTGGATTCACCAATTTAGATTGAGTAGCCCAACTTTCAAGGGTCGAATGTGCAGGCTTCGTAATGATAAGTCTGCACGTATACACTTAATAATCATCACCATTTTGTACGTTGGCTTGACCATATACAATTCGGTGCAGTGGGTTGTTATTGCGACGTGTTGACCGTAACCATTAATCAACTATTCTTATTTCACATGGATAAAACAAGTGATAATCTGCTCATTTGTAATTATCTGAGAATCCTACTATACTTCCCGTAAAGTAGTTGGGCTTATTTGGCTCAATTTGCTCTTTGACCATATAATAATAGAGTTGACTCGAGTATGGATGTTGGAAAATGAATTAGTAACATAAATAAATAACAAAAACAATCAATTAATAAAGGCAAAAAAAGAAAAAAGACGAACTTACAGCCGCCTGAAAATAGTCACGACCAAGTTTCTGATTATTAATCACCAAGAAGTAAAAGAAAACATCACTTCTCATATAGAAACATTCTTTATGAATTATGCTCTGAGGACGGAAAGGGAGCATGCCATACTATCTACTCATTAACATCATTTGATATTGCCCACATCTTAGCATATGTTACTTGAAGATAAATATCCATAGCCGTATGGAGGTATGATAATTTTAAGGACATCTATACGAAAAAAAATTTAGAATATTATCAAAATAACATAGTAATAAGTGGATAGACAACTTACTGTATGTTGGATTCACCTATAGAGATTGAGTAGCCCAACTTTCAAGGGTGGTATATGCAAGCTCCAAAAAGATAAATAAGCCATGAAGCATACTAACTCATGTAACAATCTTTTTTTTTCCCAAGATGTAACAATCTATTGAGTAGTGGGATTATGTAAGACCCATGACCTTGTTAAGAAGGAAAAATTCAAAAATTAGTAAACAGAATATTCTTAATCTTGAGAGGCAAAACACAACCCACTCAAAGTCAAAGATATACAAAAAAACAACGCAATATTTGCTTAATCAAATTCTTTTAAAATTTTCAAGCTTGTGGGGCGCTCCTGAGGGTTAACTGCGAGGCACCTTTTAATAATCATTGTCATCCGCAAAGCTTTGTCTAGTGCATACTCATTTTTTATTTCCCCATCTATCAACTTCTTCCACTTTGATTTCTAAAAATCATTTCCAACAATGCATTGTATCAATATCGCTCAAGGAGAAAAACTTGAAAATCCTTATAAGAGCAGTTAGCATCTCATACATGTTTTGCCCAAAATAGCATAAGCTTGAGCCCAGTGGCAGAGGGAATGCAGGCCCACAAGGGTCAGCTGACCCTCCTGAAATTCCTTAATTAACTCTCAAGTCAATATTATTTACCCTTTATATATAAATTATTATTAATATATGACCCTTCTCAATTTCAGCTTTCCTTTTTTCTTTTCTTTACCTTTTTTTAATAACTTCTTAATTAAAGAACTACTAACCTAAAAGCTAAAGGAGACAACCTTTTGCACTACTTAAATTAACCCTATTCTATTTCAACTTTGCACTGCGTGAATTAAACCTATTCTATTTCAAGTCTTCGTTTGCATCAATCATTCAATTCTTTTTTTTCTCTCCAACGCTACAGCAAGAATTCAACTTTGTTTCACTGAATTGTGACGACTAATCCAGTAAGTCTTTAACCCTAATAGTGTAATTTTTTTTGGTGTAGTTTTTTTATTTTTATAGTTCATTGTATTTATGGTCAGTTAATTAGTTATTTATTTATTATCTCAAATCAAGAACAATAATATTTATATGATTTCTTTATCATCTGATTTCTGAAATTTAATTTTAAAACAGTTATGGAGAAATATTTTAAAAGAAAAGCGGCAGATCAATTGTCACCTCCTCTAAGAACAGATGCATTAAATCATGGTACTGCAAAACGTCAATGTGAGGAAATCAATCTAGCTGATCTTCCTTCAGATCCTGGGCTACGAACTCGAATTTTGGATTACAATCCTACTGTCCAAGATCAGGTACGCAGAGCTTATTTGCAAAGAGGTCCTTGCCAACCTAAAAAACACAATTTTCCTCAAACGAATTTTAGTAACACAATTCGAAGGTTCAACCCTGCTTGGTTTGATGAATATGCTAGTTGGTTGGAGTATAGTATTGAAAAAGATGCTGCATATTGTCTATATTGTTATCTGTTCAAACCAAACAATGGAGAACAAGCTGGTGGTGATTCCTTTGTTAAAAATTGGAAGAAAAAAGAAAAGCTAAAAATTCATGTTGGAGGCACTAATAGTGCACACAACCATGCTAGGCGAATGTGTGAAGCTCTATTAAATCAGAGGCAACATGTTGAGACATTTTTTTTCAAACAATCACATCAAGATCGAAGTGATTATCGTATTCAGTTAAATGCATCAATTGACTGTATTCGATATCTTCTACGACAAGGGATGGCATTTCGTGGTCATGATGAATCTGATGATTCAAATAACAAAGGTAACTTTCTTGAACTTTTGCATTGGTATTCTAATAGAAATGAGGAAGTGAAGAAAGTTGTACTGAAAAATGCTCCTGCAAATCTTAAGTTAACATCACCCGATATACAAAAGGATATTGTGAATGCTGCTGCAATTGAAACTTTAAATAAAATTATTGGAGATGTTGGTAACTCATTATTTTCAATTCTTATTGATGAGTCTTGCGACATATCTGGAAAAGAACAGATGGCCATTGTATTGCGATATGTATGCAAGGGACATGTAATTGAGCGATTTGTTGGTGTTGAGCATGTTAATGATACTACTGCTTTGTCACTTAAGAAGGCAATTGATAATTTCTTTTCGAGAAATAAATTGAGCATATCTAGGTTGCGTGGCCAAGGCTATGATGGTGCCAGTAATATGCGGGGAGAATTCAATGGTCTTAAAACTCATATTTTGAAGGAAAATGAGTCTGCTTATTACGTTCATTGTTTTGCTCATCAACTTCAATTAGTTCTTGTGTCTGTTCCTAGGAGTAGTGTTAGGTTGTAAGGAAAATCCGTTCATCAATATATCATACGACTCTTGATTTTCAAGGCGCCGGAGCGCCATCTCTGTTACTCTTTCATAAATCCCATATATCATACGACCGTCGCTCCCTGAGCAACGCGTCGGAGCAATGCCCAAAATCCACCATCAACACCACCATTAAACGTCCTTGTAGCTCAGGCCGTGAACCTGACGGACGAGATCAGTTCCTCTCTCGGCCACAATCGTTTGATTAGGAGTCGAACTCAAACAGGCACACCACTTAACCACTTCACCCATATCACCATCTCGACGCACGGTAGACCGTGCTGGCACGCCCGCGCACAACCGCACTGCATCCAAAAGAAGGAAGCCACGTGTTAACGCATATCCCCTAAGCCCGGAGCTCCAGGCCGTGAGATTTGCGCAGCCAACAATTCAGTCTACATCTTATGAAAAATTTGTTGGGAATTACTCATCAGTTATCACAAGCATTGCAAAGGAGAGATCAAGATATTGTAAACGCCATGAACTTGGTTACACTCAGTAAGCAACAATTACAAGAGATGAGAGATAGTGGATGGGATTCTTTACTCAATCAAATTGTTGTTTTTTGTGAAAAATATGATATTGATGTTCCTAACATGGATGATATTTATCTACCTTCAGGCCGGTCACGACGCAGAGCTCCAAAACTCACAAATTTGCATCACTATCAAGTCGATTTATTTTATGATGTCATAGATATGCAACTCCAAGAATTAAATAGTCGTTTTACAGAGACTAATACTGAGTTGCTTCTTTGTATGGCATGTTTAAGTCCACTTGATTCATTCTCTGCTTTCAACAAACAAAAATTGATTCGCCTTGCTCAATTTTATCCGAAGGACTTCTCAGAGAATGATATCTTAGCACTTGAGGATGAACTTGAGACTTACATATTTGATATGAAATCTAGTAGTGTGTTTTCAGGATTGAAAGGAATTAGTGATCTTGGAGAAAAATTGGCTGAGACAAAAAAAGATAGGGTATACCCATTGGTTTACTTGCTCGTGACACTGGCACTAATCCTACCAGTTGCGACTGCCTCTGTGGAAAGAGCATTTTCTGCTATGAATATATTGAAAAGTGATCTGCGCAACCGAATGGGAGATATATGGATGAATGACAGCTTGATCATATATATTGAGAAAGATACATTTGATATTATTGATAATGAAGTAATTATGAAAAGATTTCAAGAGATGAAAACTCGTCGAGGACGATTGTGAATGTATTGGAATGATTTATGAGTTATTACTAAAGACTTTGTTTTATTATATAAATTTATCTTGTTATGCGATGATTTTAATTTTTGAGGTTGACCCTCCTTGATGAATTTTCTGGCTCCGCCGCTGCTTGAGCATATGAACAAAATCGTGATGGCCCAACCCCAAAGCGGAAAATATCTTACTACATGGAGTGGAATGTGACATATTGTTCAAATCATACAATCGGACGAACTCACTCAGCAGAAATAAATCCTATATTTTTTATTACTTCAAATTACCCAATCAAAATGGTGGGATCTTCATAACCCTTTGGTATTGACTGAATCGTATGTCAAATCTACTTTTAGTTGGTCATGCCTCAATTTTTACTCCAGCTTTGCACAAATCTATCAAAATGAGTATGACTTCATGTTTGTAATTCCTTCCACCATGTGAGTCCAATGTAAGATCTACTTCGTAGTCTATTCTTGAAGAGGCCAGCAAAATGTTCTATTGATCCCAAGCGATTTTCATTCCCTCAACTTACAATATAAAACTGAGAAATATAAAGTCATCTTCAATATTGAGATCTCCTCAGCATAAGGAGGCAATGCAAATTATTTTCGTCAAAAGGTCTTCCGTAATAAAATAACAGCACATGATTTTCAAGCATAGAATGATCTGGACATATCTCTATTATCAAGTGTGTTTTTTCCAAATATTATGTCTTCTACAAGCTCCAATTCATCCAAAATATTATTCAATAATAGTATATTAGTTATGTTCAAAATAATAGCAAAGGTCTTTGCATGTAATTTATGTACTAATATAATTAGTTCAAAATATTTTCTTAGTTCCAAGTCCTTATGATAAACATTTACTATAAAAAATAATCCAAATCAAATTGGAAAAATAAATGTAATCATACTCTGATTCACAAAATGCACTAGTAACGGTTGGTCAATGCCCCATTGCACCTACCATTACTAGTATTTACCCAGGTTGCAATGAGGGAGAGTACCAAGTTGATGAGAAATATCACCAATTATTGGATTATGAAGATAGAAGCATCAATCAGTGGTCCGAGCATTGGTTTCTAGACACCGAGAATATTCATTTCTAAAGCGAGCAAAATATTCTCTCAAAAGTGCATCGTCTTGTTGCCGAATGGTATATAGGTCATCCGCTGAATATAAGCAATCGATCTAAATAAGGGTTAATGTGAAAAGAAGAGCGGCTACAATGACAAAGATGACTGCCCAAGGTGTTTTGAAAAACTTTTGTCTCAAAACATCATTACAACTGTTTCATGCAATATTTCTCCAGTTCCTCAAATATATAAGCATAAAAGATGTTATCATCATTTACAATAAGCCCAGTAGCACCATTGATAACTGATGAAGTATACTTCCTTAATCCTTCGCTTAACATTTTATATTCAAGTATAACTTTACTCTCAAATAGCAATTACCCATGAAGCATACTAACTCATATAACAATCTATTGAGTAGTGGCATTTTGTAAGACTCATAACCTTATTAAGAAGCAAGAATTCAAAAATTGGTAAATTAAATATTCTTAATCTTAAGAGGCAAAACACAACACACTCAAAGTCAAAGATATATAAAAAGCAACGCAATATTTCCTTCATCAAATTCTTTTAAAATTTCCAAGTTT